TGCAGAAGAGAACAAGCAGCTGAAGACTCAGATTGCAAGAATCATAGGAAAGCGTCAGTGTGTAGAGTGATCTTCATCAACTTTGCTTTCTTAGGAATTTTAGATTCTATCTTCTTTTGTGCTTGGGATTTTTGAAACTTATATTGAAAATTTGTAATCTGTTTTGAAGATTATTATAATGAGATTTTCAGTATTTCAAAATATGTTAGTACTTTAATATTTGTAGATTGTCTATAAAATCTTTGAGTTCCTTGAATTAATAATAATATAATAAATCATGTGCATTGTATATCATGCATCATCCTGTACATATTTCTTGAATTTATTTTCATACCCAGGTGTCTTACTGAATTTCTCTGCTTCGTTCAGCAAGCTGTCTCACCGGTATAATACTCGAGCTAATTCCAGGAAGAAAATGGAGAATCTTGAACAGGAAAAATCGCAAGTTGCGCGATGAAGTTACTGCTCTGAAGGCCAGTATGGCTAATCTAACTGCTTTGATGGAATCACTGGTGGCTGCTCAGAATCAGCCACCACTTTCTCAGCCTCAACAAACAACATTTGCTTCTGAAGGTCCATCAGTTCCTGTTTATGTTGCCCCAATTACTGCTGGCTAGAATCGTATGCCTCAAGGTTATCCATGGGAAATGCCAGAAAACTTCATGACAAAAGGTTTTAATCTTGATACTCCAGCTGCTCCAGTTATTCAAGCTGCTGCTACTCCTGCACCTCCTGTGGTGCATATTACTATTACTGCTAGAAATGAAATTCACTATGTTGCACTCCCTTCGGTGAATGCTGTGTCGATTATTAATGATGAAGTTTATCATCCTATTCCTCCACCAAGTGAAAGCTTGGGCTTCTATGATCGAATGGATGATTTTCAGGATCATTTTGATAAGATGTAGAAAGAAATGAAAGCCCTCAAAGAAAAAGAATTATTTGGGCAGAATGTGAATGATCCGTGTTTGGTTCCAAACGTGAAAATACCTACAAAGTTCAAAGTACTGGAATTCGAGAAATACAAGGGAAATACTTGTCCTCGAGCTTACCTTGTGGTATATGTGAGAAGGATGTCTACTCACACCGATGATCAACGCCTGTTAATTCACTTTTTTTAAGATAGTTTGACCGATGCCGCGTTGAAGTGGTATATGAGCTTGGATAGTGCCAACATTCATACTTTCAACGAATTGGGTGAAGAATTTATTAGACAATACAAGTATAACATGGACATGGCACCTGACTGTGATTAACTCAGGGCAATGGTCCAGAAGGACAAAGAGTCATTTAAAGAATACACACAGAGATGACGTGAGGTAGCCGTCCAAGTGATTCCTCCAATGGAAGAGAAAGAGATGACGAATGTTTTCCTGAAAACTCTAGGTGCCTTCTACTATGAAAGAATGGTGGCGAGTGCACCAAGTGATTTTACCGAAATGGTGAGTGTGGGCGTTCGTTTGGAAGAAGCTGTAAGAGAGAGTCGTTTGACAAGAGGTGAAAATTCCGGTTGTACCAAGAAGCCTTCATACGGGTTTGCCAAGAAGAAATAAAGAGATACAAATGTTGTCATTCAAGAGAGAAGGGTTAATCCTCCTAGAAGGAATCATCAGCACCACCAACAGGTTGCTTCGGTAACTCCAGTTGTCAATGTGGCTCCGACCACAGTTGCTTATCACATCCCCTCAGGGAAATCAAAGGCAAAATCAGAAGAGAGTCTTTTGACTCTATCCCAATGAGCTATACATAATTACTCCCGGCGTTAATTCAAAAAAAGTTGGTTCAGATCAGGCCACCCCCTGTTATACCATCACCTTTGCCCTAGTATTATAAAGCAGATCAGACGTGTGCTTTTCATCAGGGAGCACCAGGGCACAATGTTGATAAGATAAAATCTGATCTTCAGGAAATGATGGACGGGGGTCTCATTCATATAATTAAGACTAGGGCAGAGTACGAGGAAGACGTGAATATGGTCTACGGATGTCCCGGAGAATTCCGGATTTTTGACGTGAATCATATGAATGATGATTTGGTGCAGTTGCACACAAATTTCTGTCATATGGATTGTCAAGTAGAACACCATTATGGTTCTTTCCAGGTTTGCTGTAGAGACTCTTGTGGTTTCTCCATTGTGAGAGAGGGTATTCAGTTGTTATTGGACAATGGTACTATCAAAATTTCAGGCAATATGGGTGATTACAATGAGATTAATGTGATTGAAGATTGTTTGGATGAGACTGTGTCAGATGATGAGTATGCTTCTACAGATGAATTCTTTTCCTCAGATGAAGAGATGTTTTCCAGCAATGATTCTGTGATGTCGAAGTATGCTGAAGAAGGGGTGAATGTTATTGTGCCTTGTTTTGGTGTTCCCGCCCCTATTGAGATTGAATATCATAGCAAGCCAATTGTTTCTCCGTTGGTGATCTGCTTACCAGGGCCTATTCCTTACGAATCAGACAAAGTTGTACCGTATAAATACAATGCTACAATTCTAGAGGATGGTGTGGAAGTTCCCATCTAACCTTTATCTGATGTCAAGAATATTGCTGAAGCCATTTGAGTAACCTGCAGTGGCCGTGTTTTTGCACCTGTCATTCGAGGAAATGCTAACGCTGATAAGAAGATTGTTGGAAGTGTTGAACCCAAGAAAGCATTGGGGGAATCTAGTGGTACTACTTTGGAAAAAGATATGGATGATATATTAAAGATTATCAAGATGAGCGACTATCGGATCGTAGATCAATTGATGCAGACTCCATCAAAGATATCTATTCTGGCCTTGCTGATGAACTCTTCTACCTACAGGGAATCTTTGATGAGAGTATTAGATCAAGCTTTTGTGGGAAGTAATATGTCATTGGACCAATTCAACAATGTGGTAGGGAATATTACATCCTGTAATAACCTAAGTTTCTGTGATGACGAATTGCCTGACGAAGAAAGGAATCATAATCTAGCTCTCCATATCTCCATGATCTGTAAGAACGATTCATTGTCAAATGTGCTGTTCGATAATGGGTCCGCTTTAAATGTTATACTGAGGAGTACGCTTATGAAGTTGAAGTATCAAGGAACTCCCATGTGTTCGAGTGGCATAATTGTGAAAGTTTTTGATGGATCAAGAAAGTCTATTATTGGGGAAGTAGATCTGCCTATTCACATAGGCCCACACCTTTTTCAGATTACTTTCCAAGTTATGGATATTGTGCCCGCTTACAACTGTTTACTAGGACGACTGTGGATACACGAGACAGGGGCTGTCACTTCAACTTTACACCAAAAGTTGAAATTTGTGCGTGAAGGAAAGGTGGTTATCGTAAATGGAGAACAAGCATTATTAATATCTCATTTATCCTCTTTCAGTGTTGTGGAAGCAGATGAAGCTATTGTTGGAACCCAATTTCAACCTTTATCCATTGATAATATAAGAGGAAATGAGAATTCTATAACTTCGTTTAAAGATGCTCAACAAGTTGTACGTAATGACCCTAGTAAGGAATGGGGTCATATTGTTAATCCACCTATAAACAAGAATAAAGCTGGTTTGGGATTCTTTGCGAAGCACGATAAAGGTAAGAACATGAAGCTGAAGTCTGCTTTGGGCAAATATCAAGATATCTTTCGTAGCGAAGGTTATCTTCATCCAATTGTTCCTGGGATCAATGCCATTGTGTAAGACGAAGTGGAGCAGGAGATGCTGAACTATGTGATGCATGGAGTTAGAGTCCAAAATTGGATCACCATTGATGTTCCCTCTTGCATACACGTCTCAGTAATTTATTTTTGTTAATCTTTTAAAAAATCTTTCACTCTGCCCAAGGTGAAAGTTGATATTCTATGGGCTTATCTGTTTACTTTGATATTTAAAATCAATAATAAAAGTTGTCTTTGATTTTCAATTTGTGTTTTTATTTTCTGTTTTTTCTTGAAAAATAGTAATAAAAAAAACCTTTCAAAATAAATAAATAACTGTAATCTGCATAATCACTTGCTATATGTGTCAGTTTCTAAATGTAATCATAAATCATATAATTTTTTTTTTATTTTTATAAATAGCATTTTCTTTGTTAAAAAAATAAGAGCAGATCCAAAATATTTATATTTAAATTAAAAAATTAATTTCTTGAATCATTGTCATTAAACCATTTTTAAGAAAAAATGATTCTCACCTTTATTTTATCTATAGTAGATATTAATTATTATTCATTTTGTTAATTATCTTAGGAACAATAAAGATAGAGAATGAATGCTATTATATTCGAAATTTCTCAATAAAAATAAATGGCATATAGCATTTTTATGTAGATTTAATGCTATTAAGTTTTCTTTTTCTGTCAAATAAAAGTAGATTGAAAAATTAACATTTAAAAATGAGAAATAATAAAAAATAAATTATAAAAAATACTTCATTTTTTTTTAAATAAGCATATATTACATATATTTAAAAGTTTGTAATATAGTTAATTGTATCTAAAATACCATTTGCATTTGCATATGTATATAGTTAATTTTGACTTTTCATCTTCTAAAACCCTTAGTGGTATTATTTAGGAGTTTATTTAAAAGAGAAACAATAAATAAATCTAGTAGTTTAAAAATAAATTTAAATTAATATTCAAAATATTTTTTATCTAATGAATTTTATATTTAAAAATAGAGTAAATGATTAAAACGAATGATTTGTAAAAGAAGATAAGTGACTAAAATTATATTGAAGCCAAAAATCTAAAATACCTATAAAATATAGTAAATGATCAAAACGAATAATTTGTAAAAGAAATAAATGATTGAATTAATATTCATAAAAATGAAATAGATATAAAATATAGTAAATTATCAAAATGAATAATTCATAAAAGAAGAAAAATAACTAAAATTCTATTGAAGCCAAAAATTTAAAACACATAAAATATTACAAATTGGATTAAGATGTCATTCAATTCTCCATTTCTCTCCCAAAACTTCAAAATTCTTTTTGCACCTTCTCTTCTCTTATGGAAGATCATATCAAACATAATCATCATCTCTTTCACAAACTCCATCACTTTCTTCACAACTTCAAAAAATCTCTCTTTTCCATTCTCTTCATCCTACCTACACCTTTCCTTGCTCTTCTCATTCTCTTTCTCTTATCTTACAATGCTTTCTCCATTTTCAGCATTCACATTCCTCATCATGAGTCCTCAAATAAACCTCTCGTTCTTCCACCACCATCTCACACCAAAATCAAACTCTTTTCTTCCGCGGTTTACGCTCGCAACGAAGATTCATCACCAATCATCTACAAAGGAGATAAAAAACACAAACATGGCTTAAACACCTTGCCTTCAGAAACAAGTTTCCCACTCTTTGAAAAAAGACTCGATGCATTTTTCACTCCAAACTCTTCTTCTTCTTCTTCATGCAAGGTTAGGTTTTTTATGACTTGGATTTCACCCTTGAAATCATTTGGTGAGAGAGAGTTGTTATCAATTGAAAGCTTGTTCAAGTCACACCCAAAAGCTTGTTTGGTGATAGTTTCAAAATCAATGGATTCTCATCAAGGAACTCAAATTCTAAGACCTTTTATAAAAAAAGGCTTTAGAGTCATTGCTATTGAACCTGATTTCAACTATATATTCAAAAACACTCACGCAGAATCATGGTTTAATCGATTAATACAAGGGAATGTGAATCCAGGTGAAATCTCCCTTGGCCAAAACCTCTCAAATTTACTTAGACTTTCTCTCTTGTATAAATATGGAGGTATTTATATAGATGCTGATGTAATGATCTTGAAGAGTTTTTCAAATCTAAGAAACACTATTGGAGCACAAAACATTGACGCCAAAACAAAGAAATGGAGTCGTTTGAACAATGCTGTGTTGATATTTGATAAAAACCATCCTTTGCTTTTGAAGTTCATTGAGGAATTTGCCCTAACTTTTGATGGAAACAAGTGGGGGCATAATGGTCCTTATCTAATATCTAGAGTAGTTTCTAGAGTTAGTGGAAGAGAAGGGTTTAATTTTTCTATAGTTCCACCTTCTGCATTCTATCCTGTGGATTGGAGAGGTATCAAGAGTTTGTTTAAAGGGCCTAAAGATGAAGTTCATTTAAAATGGTTGGTTAAGAAAATGAAGCAAATTAGAGAAGAAAGCTTTGCAGTGCACTTTTGGAATAGGCAAAGTAGGAATCTTAAGGTTGTAAAAGGAAGTATTATTGATAGTATCATTTCTAGTTGTTGCATTTTTTGCAATATTTAATAGCTTTTTAATTAAGTTTGTAGTGTTAGTTAGTGTCTTAGAATTACAAGTTAAAAGTTTAAAGAATGATTGTGTTGCAACTTGCAACTTATAAGTGGTCATGAACCAATAGTTAGTGTCTTTGAAAAACTTGCATTTTGCATATCTATTTCAATCCAATGGAGACAAGTATTTTGAAGAATTAATCATAACATTTTTTTAGTAAATACTAAGCATTATACTTTATTCTACTTTTTAATATATATTTGCATGTCTAGATGTATATTAGAATTTGATTTATTCATTATAGCTCCTATCACCATGAAAATAAAAGAGAGAAATAAATAAAAAAGGGGAGGGTTAGATATGTGATCCACCTACTTTCAATTTCCAAGAATTCAAACACTTTTAGTTCAAACACAAATTTCTTGCCATACTCATCCTGTTCATGTATTTGTAAATTTCATTATTATCATTTAAAATTCAATCATCTATTTAATTTTTTTAAAAATAAATGCTAACATGTGTTAGGAAACATGTTATTTTTATGACACAAATTAAAGTATTCAACAAATAAATCTTTTCTTAAAAGTCTTATATGTAATTTGTTAAAAATTTAAAAATTGATTTTTTTTTATTCTACAAAATTTTAACTTTTGAGTAGTTTTACATTTATTTGTAAGACACAAATTAGTTTAAGTTATAAAATGTTTTAACTGTATTGATATTTGAAGTTTTTAACAAAATAACATTGCACAATCTTACAATCTGTGAGGAGAGATTACACAATAATTTTTTTTTTATCTACATGAATGAAAGAGGAGTAGGGTAATAGGTTAGTAGTGTTGAGTAAAGACATAGAAGTAAAGCTAATGTATCATATCGAAATCGAAAGAGAACATTGTGGATACAAATAACTGGAGGTTGTAAATTTTGTTGTAACTGTTTTAGATTCAGTTAGTGTGAGATATTGGATCGAACTTTAGTATGGTCGAAAATGTAGTTTTTGGTCCGACAGAAATTAAGTATGAAGTTGAAGCTTGTTAGCATACTATTGTCGAAACAAGTCTGTGTTGTAGTCGAAGTTGTTCTAACATGCATTAGTCGATATTTGCTAAGTTTATTAGCATTGTCGAATTGAGCATGTTTGTTATTCTCAATTGTTTAAGTTAGCTTGTAATGTATATGTGTATAAAATCCTATTAGTTTAGTGTGTTAGTTTTCTTACAAATATCATATTAGTCTCTCATCATTGCACAATGCAAATCCTAATTAGGATGAGAGGATTATTTATTATTCTGTAACATTTGTAATCTTGTTTCAAAGAGAAAGTGGAGAATAACAGTTTATAATCAATTTTATTGTGTTCTTCTTGCTTCCCTCTTTCCTACCCTTGTGGGTTTCTTGCCAATCAAGAAACCTGTTATACTCTGTTTTTGGTATTGTTTTTCAAAACAAATTGGTGTGTGAGCATGGAGAAGATGTCGTCAATAAAGTATGAGATTGAAAAGTTTCCCTAAGTGAACGATTTTGGTCTGTGGTGCTTGAAGATGAAAGCCCCACTGGTTCGGCAGGATTGTTTAGAAGCGTTGAAGGAAGTCGCAGCCAAGGACATTGTGTTAAAGGATAAAGAAAAAACGGCTATGATAGAGAAAGTCCATAATTCCATCTTGTCGAGCCTTGGTGATAAGGTTATTTGAGAGTTTTCGAAGGAGACGACGACGTCAGATCTATGGGAGAAACTCAAAAGTTTGTACATGACTAAATCATTGGTCAATCACTTCTACCTGAAGAAAGCTTTGTATTCATTCAAGATGAGTGAAGGCCAAGTCGTGTTTGACCAGTTGGATATGTTCAACAAGCTGATTCTTGATCTTGAAAATATTGATGTCAAAATCAAGGATGGAGATGCAGTGTTGTTATTGTTGTGTGCTTTTCCCAGAACGCATGCCCACTTCAAAGAAACTTTCTTGTATGGAAGAGAGTTGTTGATGTTCGAAGAAGTTCAATCAACCTTGTACTCTAAGGATTTGAACAAATGAAAGGAGCACAAGCCATCTTCGATTGGTGAAGGTCTATCGATTAAGACGAGATTCACAAAGAAAGATGGCAAGTTTGACAAGAAGAAGGGTAAAAGTCAACAGAAGTCTTATAGTGGTGATGCATATGGTATTCAATGTTATCACTATAAGAATGAGGGTCATACAAGAAAAGTGTTCCTTGAACGCCAGAAATATCACGGAGGTAAGGATAATGGCAATGCAACCATTATTCAAGATAATTTCGACTCATCTGATGTTTTTGTGGTTTCAAGCGGCGACTCAAGTAAATAGTGGATTGTGAATTCAGGTTGCACTTGGCACATGACTCCAAACAAAAACTTGTTTGAGGGACTATATGATCGAGATGGTGGATCTGTATTATTGGGAAATAACAAAGCTTGCAATATCGCAGGTGTTGGATTTGTGAGATTCAAGCTTCATGATGAGTCAATAAGGTTGTTGAATGAAGTCAGGTATGTACCTGATTTGAAGAGAAATTTGATTTCTCTTGGTGAACTTAACAAGAAATGATATGTTTCCCAAGGAGAGAAAAGTATCCTAAGAGTCATGAAGGAGTCGAAGGAAATCTTGAGAGGCGTGAAGAAAGAAGGTCTATACACTCTTAAGGCTAAAGTTGTAAGTGGCTCTGCAGATGTTGCATCCATGAAACCTTTGTCGAAGACATGAATTTGGCACATGAGATTGGGCTATGTCAATGAAAGGGGTTTGGTCGAATTAGGAAACAAAAAATGCTTGGTGGATACAAAGTCGAAAAGATGAAGTTTTGTGAACAATGTGTACTTAGAAAATCTTACTGAGTAGAGTTCAATAAAGGAAAACAGATAAAACATGGATCCCTTGATTACATTCATTCTGATCTTTGGGGATCTGTAAGGTGTCCATCACATTCAGGAGCACTGTATTTTCTATTCATAGTTGATGATTATTCCAGAAAGTCATGGGTATTCATCCAAAAGACTAAGGATGAAAATTTTGAGAATTTCAAAAGTTGGAAGACTCTGAATGAAAATCAGACTGACAGAAAGGTCAAGAGGTTAAGAATCGACAATGGATTTGAATTTTGCAATGAGGTGTTCCACAATTTTTGTGCAACCTCTGGTATTGCAAGGCGCATAATTACTACAGGTACTCTCCAACAGAATGGTATGGCTGAAAGGTTTAATTGAACCATTTTGGAAATAGTTAGATGCATGTTGACTAGTATTGGGTTAAAGAAGGTGTTTTAGACAGAGATTCCCCAACAAAATGGTATGGATGAAAGGTATTTTGGGTTAAAGGTGTTAAAGAACGTGTTTTGGACATATGTCCTTCGACTATACTAGATATGAAGAGACCTAAAGAAGTTTGGTTGAGACATCCACCCGATCTTGACAAACTTAGAGTATTTGGATGCATAGCCTATGCTCACATTAGGCAAGACAAGGTCGGAAATAGATCCCTGAGATGCATGTTCATGGGATACCCTGAAGGAGTCAAAGCTTATAAGCTTTGGTGCCTAGAGCCAAGTTACAAGAGGTGTATCACGAGTCAAGATGTAATTTTCAATGAAGCTGAGATGGCTTTCAAGAAAATTGCTGATGTTGGTCAAAATGCTGAGATATATGAAGAATAGATGAAATAGGAAGCAATTCCTATTGAGGTGGAGCATGTTAATGTTGAATTTTGTATCTCAGATCAAGTCAAAGAAGAAGCACAAGATGCTGGAGATATTGAGGAAGTTGAGGAAATTGTCGATGAATACCTGTTGGAAAAAGATAGGTTGAGAAGAGTCATCAATCCACCTTAGAGACTTGGGTATGCAGATCTTATAGCTTATGCTTATTCTCTGTAAGTGAGGTTCTAGATGAAGAACCTATAAACTATAGGAAAGTTATGAGGAGTCAATATAAGACTGAATAAATGAAAGCCATGGATGATGAGATAAAATCTCTTCATGATAACCATACTTGGGAAATGATCAAGAAACCTATTGGAGCCAGGTTAGTCAGTTGTAAGTGGATTTTCAAATTTAAGGAAGGAATCAAAGGAGTGACGTCGAAGAGATACAAGGCAAGATTGGTCGCAAAGGGTTTCACTCAAAAAGAAGGTGTCGACTTCAAGATGTTTTATCTCCTATTGTAAAGCACATGTCCATTCGAATGTTACTTGTCACGGTGGCACAATTCGACCTCGAACTGGAACAAATGGATGTGAATACTGATTTCTTGTATAGAGATCTAGATGAAATAATCTTGATGAAACAACATGAAGGGTATGTAGAAAGGGGAAAGGAATATTATGTGTGCAAGTTAAAAAAGTCATTATATAGCCTGAAATAATTGCCTTGTCAGTGGAATAAGAAATTTAAAACGTTCATGGCACACATAGGTTTCATTTAAAGGCAGTTCGACCATTGTGTTTACTTCATATTTTAACCTGGAAATTCAATTTGTTATTTGTTGCTTTGTGTGGATGATATTCTCATAGAAAGAAACAATGTCGAGGATGTAATGAAGGTAAAGACTGAACTCAATAAGGAGTTCAACGTGAAGGATCTGGGAGTTGCATCCATGATTCTTCGGATTGACATCTGAAGAGATAAAAAAACTGTAAGTGTTTGTTAGCAGCAATTTTGGTAAAACACTGCTTTGGTAATGTTTTGCTTAATGTCTTTACATTTAAAGTAAAACATCTCAACCATTTTTGAATTATGTCAAAGAAGATGTCTTAACATCTTCCCTCTGATCTGAACGTGTTTTTAGATTTTCTATTTCCTATTTCTAAGCGCGCCTTATTCAGGTTTTGTGGTTTATAACTTGCGAAAAATATGGAGGAATATTTTTCGATCTGTCTTATCTTTATGGATTATATCTTGGACTTATTTCATGGAGATATATTTCAATTTTTTTTCAGCCCAAACCCATAAAGAAGCTGTTGCACCTTTATAAGGACTTGCATCCTTATTCGTACAACTGCAGC